TCTGGATGGTTTTACTAAGTTTATTCCACGCAAATCAGATTTCTCATTGAATTTACTATGTGTAACCTCAGTGGGAGAACACATTTAATTTACGACTATGACTGAAAATAACACCCTGGAGAGAACTAATCTGAGATTCCTGCACCTTCTTACTCTTAAGCTACACGTGCATTCTTGGCATAGGCTGGTTGATCCCTGAGGAAAGGAAACTGAAACATGTTTTCCAGCAGACATCTTAAAAACGGACATGCAGCCCTTCAGGAAGCCAGTGGAAGCTGGCATAGCAAGACAGGTTGAATGATAGTCAAGAAATTGCCTGAGTAATGTTTCTACAGACACGAAATGTGAGGGATCAACATGGATACATCCATTCTATCATTCTTCAGTCTAGCCTCTTTCAAGCCAGATTTGGATATCCTAGCAAAACTATTGGATGATTTTTCTTCTCAGTCAGATGGCATCTTTGGAGCAGGAAGTTTGTTTCTTAATTTAAGAGATAAACTCATGGTTTTCTTGGTAATTCTAAGGAAATAACCAGAAGATAATTTCTATCGCACCTGAAAGACCTTGCAGACTCCTCAGTATTCCTTCCTTTTTTTTTTTTTTTTTGTTTTTGGCACAAAAGAGGAAGGCTTTAGTTATGGACTTCAGGCTATAATGTCTCCAGTTTATAAATAACTTAAAATACTCAGAGACATGGAACTCTAATACTAGTAGCACACATAAGTCTTTGGGCACAGCTATGGCTTAAGCACCGAGTGTGTTTTTCAGTGTTAGCCATATTATGATTCATCAGATGACCTCTAAGTTGTAGTTTTTCATTATTAGTATTTATTATTATTAGCAGCACAGATGTACAATTGGTTATTTGGTTCAATTAAATACAGAAGCCTTGGTCCATGGATGAATAGATTTTCTGTTCCTGATTTAGCTCTTCTGGCATTAGGCATTATGTCTTGTTTTGTCCAAGATTCATTTGGCTGGCTACACAAGTTTCGCATGGCTGTATCACATCTTTTTTTTCACAGGCTATCAAGACATCAACTATTTTTTGACTTGTGGTTCTTTTTTGGTCACTCTAATTAGACATTAATTTCACCCAATTTGTATAGTATCAGTGCTAAAATGTGCTATCATTACCCTAGACTTAAAGAAAACTACTCTAAAACCTTCTGAGAGTAAATATCAGAGTTCATGTTTTATTTTCAGGCTTTTAATGTAAAATTCTCCTTTCATGTCTCTTTCAAGTCTGCTTGAATGAGCTGTGTTTTACCAGTTGCTTTCCCATCTGTCTCAATTTAGTCTCTTTGACAAATTCCAATCTGGCCTGAGGAAAAATCAGAGTACTGAAACCACTCCACATTAGATTATTAGGTATATTTTATTAACAGTGTCTCTTTACTTAAACAAAAAATCCTGACACTCCCTAACTCCCCTGCCAGCAATGGCTTGCGGAGCCCTACCTACGACTTAGACTCCCATATTCTGAATGGCTTCACACCCCTCTCTTTTCATTCTCGCCCATCTTCTGACTTTTCACCAGGTACAAAAGTGAGGGTTTTCCTCTTTAACTTTTAACCTTTCATAATCTCGCTGGACGTAACCTACACGGTCTGTACAGCATATAAACTCCATATGACTCTTTTCACTTTCAAACTGCCTAACCCTTGCCCACCCTGAAAGTGCACTGAGAATTTCACGGATATTATAGACACACTAATTTTGTCCCTTAGCCTGTCCCAATAGATTTTACTCTAAAAGCATGTGTTAATCATGCTAACTTAAAAATCTCCCAAAACCAAACCCAGAGGGGAAAAACTCCCACAAATGTAGCTTGCATTCTGCCACTACTCTTTGTCAGGATATTGCAGATTTTATGCCTATGGTTTAATCTCTTATATTTTTCAAATTCTTATATGGAATGTGTTACAAAAAAGGTGAGCCCAGTCATACTTTGGGTTTCACAGGTTATTTGTTGGATTGGGTTTTTCTTTCTTTGTTTTTGTGGGTTTTTTTTCCAAACCTTTGTATTCCCTTCCTCCTCCCCCATCCCTCCCCAATCTTTTTTGCAGGAAATTTAATTACAGAACTGCCTATTCCCAAGTTAATAGAAGGCTGCACTATGCAAACAATAAAGATCTCTGTTTAAAAGTAATTGTTGGCTCTGTTTGACAGCCCTTAAGGGAATATGAGAGAAAATATAGGCTGCTGCCCAGAATTTCTTGTTTTACTAGAAATTAGTTTGAGGCTAAGAGTTTTGAGTAGTCTTACGAATCCCAAATCTACCGTCTGTAAGTCCACTCCAAGTTAGTGGGGGAAAAAATTCTCCCATTCCTACGTATCGGTTAATTCATCAGAAGAACAATCCTAACAGGTCCCGAACATGCAGAAACCCTGCTGTGCTAGTTGCTCAGCAAATCGTAACACAACTGCCTGTATATCCCTGCAGCACCTGCTGCCAGAATTAGTTAGGCAAGAATTTGTACTGTACTTTTCTTAAACCGGGCTTGTCATCTTGTCTGGGAACTGCTCTCTTCCAAAAGCACCCCAAATGTCACTTGTTTAAAATAAAACAAACAAACAAACCAACAAACAAACCCCACCAAAAATCAAATGCATATCACGAGCATATCAGTTTCTAACTGCATGCAGGGAAGTAATGCATTAAGGATGTGTTAGCTCTAACATGTCACATAAATATTTTTTAAAAGGTGAAATGACCCTTTTGTGGCTGAGTTGGCCTTCACTCCTCGCACACAGCCAGTGGACTGCTTCATCCCATTACTGGGCAACCAAATGCCGGCTGAACCCGCCCTTGTGGCAGGGTGTCTTGGCACTGCTTGGTATTATGGCTGTAGTGACATGATCACCATCTCAATAGTAACCCAAAAGTCGCGGAATTTAAATAATTCTCAAAATTGCTATATATCAATTATTTAGAAAGTTAAGGACAAATTATTTTTTTTTTTTATTTCAACTACTAACAAATAAATGTAAAAAAATACCAACAACAAAACAAAAATAAACCCATTCATCCCCCACATTAAAGCAATAATTTTTGTAACATTCAGAACAGTGGAAACTATTTACCGTATATTACTACTAGTGGAGAAAAGCAAATTTAATTTAAAATCATTTTTTCAAACTCCCTCAATGGATGCCAGATAACTCCAGCTTAAACAAATATAAAAAAGTCATTTTAAATGGAGAATAATACAGACAGAGCTCAATTATTGAGATATTAAGGGCAACATTCAATTTGAGATACATTTAAGCATCTTTGCCTCCTGGAGATTTTTACATGACAAGGCTTTAGATAAACATGGTTTTGCAAACAGCAACTATCATATCTGATCACATAACCTCTGGACTGAAGCAGTATGTCAGCAAATATTTCTGATTATTTAAAATACTAAATAACTGTAATTTACTAGGCAGGTCTTCCTCAGAACAATCACAAATTTTTTCAAGAATTGATACCCATATACAAAAAGCATTTAGATGATCTGTTACAAATCTCTGAACTAAAAAAAAGAAAAAAAAAATCACCTCTCTCTGTGATAAAGCCCAATTTAAATACATTTGGGGACATACTAGTAGTGGAGGAGCTGCCTTTCTACAACACTCAGCTTGCAGGGGAAACTGTAGCAGCCAGGGACATATAGGGTAGGAATCACCTCACCTAACTTTAACTAACTAGATATTAGACGCCTAATTTAAGCTAATCATCTGGGTTCCCTCTACAGGTAATGGAGATAAGCATTCCCAGAGGGAGATTCATCCTGCTTGTCTTAGGCATCTCTCTTTTAGATGCTTGTAGGTGGATAAAGTCAAGAAAGATCAGCCTCACTGACAGCCTGACAATCTGTCTTTAGCGATGCACAATTTCCAAATTCAATGAAATTAAGCCAGAACGAAGATAATTTCTTTATTTCATCGTTTAGCCTTTAATTCTCCCTCTGACCCAATTTTTTCTTCAGTTCCTCCCACGAACATCAACTTTCTCTGGCACTTTATTTTTTTTACACTGGACTATGTTTTCCTGGAACCTGGGGAACTGCAACCAACATCAATAAGTTGCCGCTCTACCAGTTACAAATTCATTTACGTGCATGTGCTCTAAATTGCAGTAGTGTTCTGAACAGATAGATACAATAGGAGTATTGATAGCGATTGTGCTTTCTGGGTCTACTCTACCACTTTCAAATGTGTAAAACTCTGTGGCAACATTAAGGCAGTTAAGGTATATAGATGAATGCTAAAATATATTTACTATTCAAAGAAGATGGCTTAAATCAAACAAGGAAAAATTAGGAAGAAATACCATTAGGGCCCTCACTTTTCCACGTGTGAGCCCAGGTCACCACACACGCCTCGAGGCCACTGTGCTTCACAATATTGAATGAGTCCTAAAGGTGAAGCCTGGCCTCAACTCTCTTGCATTTAGGGTTTGTGGGTTCTCAGCAATACCAGCATTGCTGCATCGCACCTTTAATCACCGAGCCCTTAGAAACAATAGCCGAGATTTATAAGGAAGCAGGTGTCTGAACTGGGTGCCTAAAGCAGCAGCAAAACTGACAAGCACCCTGTGCAGTTGCCCACAGATGCTCACCCCAGTAGTGAGGCACTTAGCATTTGTTATAACACAAAATGGATGTTTATTAATTAAGCGTGTTCCAATGGCTACTCGAAGTGCCTTGGCAGAGTGCTTGTGTGCACTAATTTCAATATTGGGCATGCAGTCTACTCTGCGTCTTACTTCTACAGCATTTCTAGAAAATTAATTTTAATAGTTAAAAAACCATCTTGAGCTGCATACATGAAAATAACTTCATTTCTACTGAATGACAATCTAATACGAAATAAGAATATTCACCTTTTTTTCTTACTCTGCCCAAATCCAGGCAATAAATTAGGCTTCTCAGCATGACTGTAAAGTGCTGTGAATTGTATAAACAATCATATATGGACACTGAAAAATAACCCTTATGCACATTGCATTATAGTTCCAAAAATATATTTACAGTCTATTACAAAGATTACAAATGGAAGTGTCTATGTAACGGGATTATGCTAGTTAAAAGCTTTTTACAGATTTTCTTCAACAAAGGCAGGGGGGACAAAAAATTAGTATAACCAAACTGATTTTTCTAATGAAACAAATAAATAAAATGACAAATATAACACTGTACAGTGATCTAAAAAGGGGAGGAAAAAAAGGAGGGGGAAAATGATGCATTTAAGTTTTTGATAACTATCTTTGGTCCTAAATGTGGGAAAACACATTATGTCGCACTGAATATACATGTTTGTTTGTGATGCTCTGCAATTAAAATAGAAAAATATAGTGCATTTTCAATGTATTCAGAGCTCACTACACATAAATGTGTGTACAAAACAAGACAGTATAAATAAAATTTACAAGTTTTACAAAGGAACATTTACAGGGTTTTTCTTTTGTTTTTATTTTTTTTGTGTGGATGCCCACATTATCAAACAAGACCAATTTATGACTGATCCCTGGGATCTTTCTCTATCAAAATCAATAGAAGCAGCCCAATTCTCTTTGGAAGTACAGCATTTCATTGCTGGGGTAGTTCACAATTTTCAGATCTTTTTTTAAAGCAATTCTCTCTGGTTCATATACATTCCTGCAATATCTGTAAAGACACCGTTCATTATTGCTTATGGTAGTTAAATATTTTAATCAAATGAAATTCATATAGAAGTAAATGGTGTAAAAAGATATTCCATTGAGGAACTACTCTTGCATCTGTGTTCCTGATGAATGACTCTTGTATCTGTGTGAGCACGCACACGCATGTTTGTTCAGAGCAGCAAAAGCTTGTAAAAAAAATTGAAAATTTTGAACTGCCCCTTGCCTCATGCTCTACAGTTCTCATATAAAATCTATGTCCTTATTCTGACAGCTGGACTGCATACGGCTTGAACTCATATAAAATATACGCCAGCTATTTCTCTCAGATTTGCTAATGCAGAGTATTGAAAAAAAATGTGATGTGCTCAGATTAAATGGTTTAGGTAACACTGGAGAACTGCCCCCGTGTTCTGAGACACTCCTACAATCACTTGTCCATTCAATGCAGTGTCTCAGCAGGTTTACAGTTGTAATCTACATCTTAGAATATATCTCACTTTAACTCTAGTCCATTAAAATCATGTTGCAAACAATTTGCTAAAAGTGCCTAGAACTACTTAGGGGTCATTATTGCTTTTCTTTTTAATTTTCTTTTTTTTTTTTTTTTCTCTTTTATTTTCTTTTAAAAGATAGTATATGTGTAACATTAAAAAATTCTTTAAAAAATATCAGAGCTCTTGGCAACTTGCATTTTCCTGACTCCCTGCCAATTAGCTAGCCATGTCAATACGGTGCTGATTTAACAAAAGCAAATGGCACAAAAGGATACCAAAGTTCGGACAGATATACATCGCTTGGTCATGCTTCTTAAATCTCTAGGAACTCAAATAATCCTTCAGAGGTACCCAGTGTAGTAATGTGTCATAGAATTAGCACTAAAAAGGTCCAAAGATATAAACATCATACTAAAAGAAAGTCTTTATGAAGAATAAACACAAATGATTAAAAAAAGATTCAGAAATCACAGATTTAAGGAAAATATTTTGTTGAATTCAACAATAATATCATGATTTTATCTGACAAATATATTCTTTTTTAAATTTTTATGTACATTTAAAAAGTCTATTAGATAAAAAGGAGGTTAGAGAGCTCAAGGTGTTTGTATGTTTATTCAGGTAGTACTTTGTTTATTGTCACTGCTGTTTTTTCCTTGCCACCACTGGTGGATCCTAATTCCCTTTTCATAAATTCTGGTGGCACTTAGGAGTTCAAGTCTGTAGGTGCTTCTTGTAGCTCTTCTATTCACTGCAGGAAGGACCCAGGAAATCAAGTGTCTTCTAGCAGCACTTCATATATACTGAAGGCCAGTGCTGTTCTCTCAGTCTGTCACCTCCCTCATAAGGGAGAAATGTCTATCACACTTGGATGCCAGTGCCGTGTAAATGTAGCATTTGTGCTCTCATAGTCTGAATGCTGCTCATGATTTTCTTTTGATGACCAACCAACGTGATCCCTAAACTCATCACATCCCTGGGGAAGATAAATGCGTACATTGTTAATTTTTCATCTTAGACTGCTATTGTATGGTATTCAACTGTGAGTCAAAGCTACGTAGTGGTCTGGGCTACAGGCTTCTAACATTGAAGCTACACTGGAACCTCAGCTCAGTACTGTGAAGTTCATATAGGCACTGTGCAACTTCTCATCGAGGAGTGCAATTACATGGCGGGTGTCATGTAATTACACTGCCTGTGTCTCCACACCTGAGAATGAGGCCAGTGTGTTTTGCACTACGATAATCTTTTATTGTGGCCTTCAAGGACACCCAAAGCAAGAGACACCTCTCTTGTAAAATACTTCAGGTGGCTTTCAGGACAAAGTTATGTTTAAATACAGGATTCTGGGGATCACATTCTGCTTCCTAAAGAGATGCCTAGAGAAACCCTTTGCATATTGACCCATACCCATCATGCAAATGGAAGAGGAGCAGCTGTTTCAATTCCACCGCTACTAGTGGTGCTGACCTAGTAGAAGCTTGTGGGCTCTGATGACAGCTCCCAAGCTATAGGCTTAGACCCCTAGTGATACCAGGCAGATAAGAGTAGGGTTGCAAACTTGAGAATATTGTTTAAAAACTTGTTTAGAAAACCACTGCTCTCTGTGAGAGGAATTGCATGTGTTTGGCAACCACCAGGACAAGAATGTTGTTTGCAGGGTGCCAAGAAGACCTGTTTTAAGATGGCAGTACCAATACAGGCCATGCTTGCCTTCAGAAAATTGTTTTGCTTCTATAGACTTTTATTCTGATGCAAAGCCATTTCTTGCAGGACACAGACAGCCCCCAGCCAATTAGAAGAAAATTCCACACCTTCCTAGTACACATCTGGAAAAAGGTACCAATTAGGTAGTGGAGGGTAAGTGGTTATTTTCCTATACATACATACTTTGAAATGGGCCACATTCTCCCTCAAATTCTAGCCCCTTGGTGTTATTTCAATTGGTCTCAAAAGCAAGGAAAAAAGTGATGCCACACATAGGTAGCAGGGTATTTGCCCTTTCATGGGATGCTCTAATATAACATCATCAGCTGCTAAACCGGCTGGCTTAACCCCAAGTACCATGTTTGTACTCAGGGCAAAGTTTTGGAGTTGAACATTGTGTATTAGTTTACCTAGAAATTCCCTAAATGCAAGTTAAACATGCCCAGTACTAACTTACTCAATAGTCATCCTGGCAACTGATTCAAGAGAGTTGTAGCCTGCTGCTGTGAAATTATCCTTATATCTTTCCATCTTAATAGCTTGTAACCATTCGCCTACGGAGCAGAAAGTGGTAAAATCGGGAGTGTTCTGGTCCAGAAGAGGGCTAATTGGTCTACGGAGAAGGAAAAAGGAAAGTAAGTTGTTTCCAAAGAGAGTAAAACATCAGGGAGTATTTAGCAAGGTGAGAGTCAAATAAGTTTGGGGTATTAAAAAGGTCAAGAGTAGAAAGTAATAGGCCTTTTACACAGTTTAGATTATTCTGTGAATAGCTCTTGACTACTCTGTAGCTCACAATATGCACTTCCTAAGTTTATTCATGTAAAAGATGAAAGGTCAGAGTGAGCAAAATCAGCCTAACGGACTATTGTTACCAACAGAAAATTAACCTTATTACCTAGCGTGACAGCTGCTGCAACTAAAGTTGCTGAGTAAAATAGAGATGCTATTCTTCTAAGCATCTTAGAAAATATAGTAGTAGCTATTCCCATTTTTCAATCGGATGGGACAAAACAAAGACAAGGAAAGAGCAGAGACACAAAGTAAGTTGCTTAAGGTCACACAGCAAATCAGTCAGTAGAAGAACTGGGAGCAGAACACAGGCCAGTTGATTCCCTAGTGCAGTGATCTAGCTAGCAGATCAAAAGATTACCACGATTAAATAATTCACCTGAAATTTATGAAGAAGCCATTAAAAGCTACACCATGAAATACAATGCGATGCAATTGCTGAAAGGAGTTAAAGCCAGAAAATGAAAGGTAAAAATCTAGAGTGTAGCATGTCAAAGTACATTGGCCAAGCATGAGTATTATTAATAACTATTTCTACAGTAGCAGTTGCTAGGGCAAGGGATGCATCATATAAAACTACAATAGATGATGATCCTTGCCCTCCAGACTTCACAATTTTAAGAAACAAGGAAAACAAAGACTGCTAGTGGTGAGAGTGTGGAAAGAGTGACGAGTGGGCAGTAGTTTACCGAGAAATGTGTTAGTTCCATGATATTTACTTTCTTTATTTTGGTTATTTTTTTAAGAATGTCCTTTTTGGCTTTGTTCAGCATGGTAAAAAAGAAGGGCAAATGAGGGAAGGGAAGAACAGGGAACAGAAGGCAGGAGGAACTGAGAGACACATGGACTAAGTGTGAACTGGAACCAGCCACCAAGCAGAACATCCATAACCCAGCCACGTGCACCATTGTAAGAGCACACACTAAAGCTTTTCTTACCTGCTACAGGTTCCCAGTGGGGTTTTCAAGCTATTTGGATTTCTAATCATTTTGTCCAGAATACCAACTATCTGCTCAAACTTTGGCCTTTCACCGCGCTCCTTCTGCCAACAATCTAGCATCAGCTGGTGCAGTCCTGCTGGGCAATCCATGGGTGCTGGCAAACGATAGCCTTCTTCGATTGCTTTTATAACCTAGTAACCAACATAGTTAATAATTTTTCATCAAGAGATATTTAAGGAATATATCTTGCTACCCAGATCAAGAAATAAAAGAAAAAGAAATAAAGAAAAAAAATCAATAAACTAAAACTTGCCATCAGTGTTGCAAAAATGAGTCTGTTGTTTTGACACTAGCCTTCATGTTTTCAAATAATTTCCACGACTCTATCTTTGGGCTTATTAAGCATATTGTTCTATATGTGCAGAACACAGCTATATTACCTAGTCAAGTGAGCAGCGGGGAGCAACAATTAAATTCACCAGGGGAGCAACAGATAGATTGATAAATGGAGTTATTTCAGAAAGCATTATTACTTGCCCCAAGGCTTTTATGAAAGAGTGTGTGGTAGAAGCAACTGACTTGTAAATGGATAGGGATCTGTGAATGCACATATAAAATACAAAAAGCCTGAAGATATTATAAAAGGATCCAAGAAAAATGTTTAGCAGACAGAAATCATTAGGGAAAAAAGTTGTATTCTGTGTCTAGCCATGTTATATTAATGATAAAGTAGCAGAAATGTGCCACGTGAGAGAGGAAGACCTGGCTGAATGGTATTTTAATGTATCACCTAAACAGAGAGTTAGATTTAATAAGAGATGCTGCTAGATGATGATATGATTGAAGGAGAGAATAAATGTCTGAACCAAGAATTACACCTGCCCGTTGACTTCCTTAGCCAAGTCCATTTGGATTTAAGTAAAAAATAAAAATGGGTAAAGTAAAATCACAGGAAACCGCTGTAAACCTTGAGGGCAGGATAAGAAAGCACATCAGGAAACAAGGCAGATAAGAAAGGCTTGTGAAAAAGGGCTAAAACACCGTTCATGGGGGATTTCAAGTATACTGACACTGACTGACATAGCAGTATTAGAATTGCTAAGGAAGGGTGCTTGTTCCCGAAGGGTAGTGCACAGGACTGTCTTCTTCCTCGGTTTGTACAGAAAGCAAGATCAGAAGCTGTTCTGGATGTAGCCCTAGAAAGTAGATCTGGTATGATAAATAAAGTTGGTGAATATCCAAGGTTTAGTGAAAAATAATAACCTCAGATAGAAAATATTCTATAGGTTGTGTGAGAAAAAGCAAAAGCAGTGGACTGAAAAGTAGACAGAACTGCAAAGAATACAAAATGACCTTCAAAAAGCTGGCTGAAATCCATGATTGTATCAAAACCTTTTGCAGAAAAGAAGTTTTGTGAAAAGAGGAGGCATAGCCCAGTGGTAGGGCACTTACTGCAGGTTTGTGTCACAGAATGTCCTTCCGACCTCTGGGAAGTTGCCTCATCTCCCTGGGCCTCAGCTTTCTATCTGAACATTTAGAATGATAGTACTGTCCTACAACTCAAAAATGACTGAGAAATATTCAGTTCCTGCAGTAACATCCACACCTTGAAGAATGAGTGCAGCGACCTTTCAGAGACAGTGAAGTTATCTGTCAGACAGGGTGGGGAGAGAGGATTTCTGCAGAAGAACAGGGAAACTGGAAGAACAGTACTGTATAGGAAAGAAAACATTAAAAGTAAAATGTAAGATCTGTTAGAGCAGTATTAAGAGAAAAAACAAAAGAACAGCTCCTTACGCTTAGAAGTAGCGCTGGAATAAAAGTGAAAAATAAGCTACAGTGGGCATAGAACAACTGGTGTGCTATGAAAAGTAATGCAGAAACTTCTGACCTTCTAAAAGGTGAAAGGTATTAAACCCGTTGTGCATACTACATATGATTTACTACAAACGAAGCAGTTGCTTAAGAGGTCAGAACACAGAGACAACTAATGAGGAATGAAAAAGTAGGTACAAGCAACAGCAACACAACCACCAAAACTTCTAAGACCCTTAGCACTGGCAAACCATCTAGATAAGCCTATATCCAAGAGTGTAAGGAATAGTGAAAACATGAATGAAAGGTTCATAAACAGGACTCTTTCACGTTCACTATGACCTGCAGAGAAACCTGAAGAGAGGTGTGAATCAAGATGATGACGTTATTTTTAAAAGGCTTTGAGGATACTGCAGAATCAGCTTCTTTGATGTGTATTCTGAGCAAGAAGGATGAAAGTGGGAAATATAAAATAATAAGCTAGAGATGGATGAAATTGCTGGGAATATCCAAAACACTGAAAATAACATTCTAAACTATTGATAAGTAAAGTTTCTTTTTATAAAATGAAAAAAAAAAGTTTATACAAAACTTGGGAACTTTGAAGGGTACTACAAGTATCTACTCTGCTAAGAAAGGTGGGGTTCCAAAAATCAGTACTCAGAGATAATGAAATAGATGCAGGATTTTTATTTTTTTTTAAATAAGCAAAGCTACAAAGAGAACACAGCTGGAGTTCTTAGTAATAGAATTGATTTATATTATTTACACTTCCCACAATTTGTTTTTCAAATTCTGCTTTTGCTGCAGAAAGAGAAAAAGGGAATACTGCTAAAAGTCAAGTATGCTTTTATCATAATCAGGCTGAAGATGTAAACTAGATTAGAAGAGGGCCAGGTCTGTTCACTGTATATACTGGCTGCCAACAAAGAAGTATTAAATAAGGGTAACTGGACAACATGACGTTATCACTCTGCTTCTGGGTATATAATAATAATACAGATTAATAATCATAATAATGGTAATACATCCAGGAGTACAGCAAAGAAAAGATATGTAAGTCTAAGCTCTTGCCCTTTTCTGAAGAACAAAACTGCGCTATGGTCAGTAACGGAATGAGAGCAAGAACTAGCAAACACCAGCAGTCTAATAGGGGAATAGGGTAAAGCGCAGTGGTTTCAGGGCTACTCTTACCAGCAAGGATTAAGCTGAGGGGAGCCCACTGCTCAGAGATGTTGGGGGAACTCCAGAATTAAAGAAATGCCATCTAAAGATCCGAAGTCAGGGAGACATATTTTTCAGAGATCTCATCTGTTCTATGACTACACCCACATCCACTTTTAGGCAAAATGACACACTTAAGATATATAAACTGCCTGAGTGTATATGCAAAATTAGAAGAGACACATTTACCAATTTTTTATTCCAGTTAAATAATCCCATTGGTAACTGTGAAGGAGAATAAAAAACTAATCATAAGATGATTCTAAATTTTTGCATCATAGATTTATCTATGGGATTGGTAGGATGTGTATATGTTTCGGGAGGACATGCTTGAAGATGACAGCATACAAGAATGTTTGAAATTATTTTGCCAAGCAATTGATGCATCTTTTAACTATGTGCTATTGAAGATTATTATGTAAGATGCTAAAAAAGAGATGAAACTGCAAGAAGTGGTAATTAGCTGTTTTATGAAAAAGGTTCATTCATGCACTTTACCTGAAGTTTTCAGTAGAGGGAATGCTTTTCAAAATCCAACAAAAAGCATGAAGATACCAAAATTTCTCCCCTATTTAAAAGTTTTTCCTTATTGTTCCCTGAAGGATAGGTAAGGTTTGCCTTTGAGGCATCTTATATTCCTGTCAGACTTCTTTTATGTTTGAATCTAGTACAGAAGGAAGGTGTCAAAAGAAATGAAACTCTACTGGGTGTCTAGGGAATGTAAATATTTCTCTTTCTCTGCCCCAAGGACTTGTTTGCCCATATTTTGACAGTCCATGAAATCTTTGACACTGAGACCTGTCAAATATTAACAACTTTGCACTGTGCCAAACTGACTCATCATTTACACTTTTACCTTTTTTTTCAACTTTGATGTCGATCATTCAATCAAAAAATAAAATAATAATAATAAAAAAACCACTCAAGCCCCTGACCTGAAGAACTTTAAATGAGACTCTTTCTGACATCTTTCTCACCTGTATGGCTTTTTCCTGTGTACTTTCTATATTAATATATAGTCTTGTCAGAAATCAAGATTAACACCCATCTGTTCTATTACTGCTGACCTGTTGCTCTGGGTCACATTTTATGCAAACAAGGGTATTGTTAAATCAGCATAATTAACTTGAAAAAGCCAAAGTAGGTCATTAACTGCCACTCAGATTTCTAACAAGTTTTTTCAACTGATTACTCATTGCTCTGAGGTCAGAAACCTCAGAATTATTTTTTATTGGAAAAAAATTAATTCTTTTGATGCTTAAGTGTAATAAAGAGCACATATTACTATTTTTGATGTTCCAATTTTACTTGATACTCAGGACAGAAACCTACAACATCCACATGGCAGAAGAACAATTTAGAGATTTAGGTAAAAAGTGAAAGCTCTGTAACTTTTTCATTTTGTGAGAAAACTACAGTATTTTGATAAACCTTATTTCTAAGCCAACACTTTATGCATGTATAGTGAAAGGCATATGTATGTGTTTACAATACGTAATTTTTGTTTTTCTAACAAACACATACGCACATACACGCTCACAAACAGACAAAGTATAACCTACATCTTGATTTGACATGTCCCAGTAAGGCCGTTCTCCATAAGACATTACTTCCCACATAACTATTCCATAACTCCACACATCGCTGGCTGATGTAAATTTGCGGTACTGGATGGCCTCTGGAGCTGTCCATCTCACTGGAATTTTTCCACCCTATGAAAAAGAAGAAAAGAAGAAAGTTTTCTTTTTCCTCCACAGAATTTCCGTATCATCTTCCATAGAGGGCATTTATTTCCATCAACATCAAAAGCAGCACTTATATCATCTACTATAGTTGACCGACTGAAGAATTTTCAAAGGAGTCTAAGGAAGTTTAGGCTCTTAAAACACCTGGACCATAGAAACTTAGATACCTGTGTAAGCTAAGGGGGATGCGTTTCTCTGGAAGTGCTTATCGCGCCATTCATTTTAAGGGGCTGCTTAGATGCCTGATTTACACCAGTCATTTGACTCCTGGCTGGCTGAAGCTAGGTGAGGGGAATCTCATCCTGTGCATACAAATCCCCTTGACTTGTCGTACGGCTCCTCTGAAATCTCAGTCTGACATTTTTAAACCAGGATCCCACTTAGAGCCCAGTGGGAGGAGTGACGGCTGTGAACGCCGGTGCAGTTTCCCAGATCCCTGTGCCTGTTGGAGCAGATTCCAGGGGCCCCTCCTTCCCTCAGCATGAGAAAATAGGTACAGTGAGGCCCCACGGGTGGGAAAGTGGAGCTGGCTCAACAAAAGAATAAAGAGCATAGTGTGCCCGATGAATGCTTATTTAAGAAAAGCGTCCCACCCAAAAGAAAGGGAAAATACAGGAGTTGAGCTTTGTCACAGTCTAGCCTCAAGCTAGTCAACTTTTTGGCGAGATAAAATCTAGTCTGAAAAATAGTAATAGCCTACAAATATTTTAATTGACTCATAGTAAATGAAATTATTAAAATTTTTATGGGTAAAACTTCTGTATTTGTTCAAACAGAAAATCATGAGGAAGGGAATAATGAAGATACTGTGCAAAATTTTTAGAACTTTACCAAATAAAAATGTATGTTCTTACAAAAATATCAATCCCTTATTAGAGCCAGATTTCTGCAGAGACTCTTTTCATTTTGACTGGTTAACATTTCTCATGCAATTAACGTATTTCTTTTATCTATACTCTCTAGAAGATGTGCTTCTTCTTAATAACCATATCTCAAAACTACTAAAACCCATCGATTTCTCTTACGGTAGTAGTGTAGACGGCCTCTGGATCATCTTCTATAACTCTGGAAAGGCCAAAGTCTGACACTTTACAAACAAGGTTGCTGTTGACAAGAATATTGCGTGCTGCAAGATCCCTGTGTACATATCCCATATCGGCCAAATATCTCATTCCAGCAGCAATTCCTCTCAACATTCCCACTAGCTGAATGACTGTAAATTGCCCATCATGTTTCTGGAGGGAAGAAAGGAGCAGCAATTCTTGTTAGTATAGCTGAGAAGAGAAATAAGAATTAGTTTTACAACTTCAGCTTTCTACTTATTTACTACTTCTGTGGCAATTCAACCTGGGGCAAAGAAACTCACTTCAAACACAAGTTTTATTTTCTTCAGAGATAAAGCAGTACATCCAGTTAAGAAATGTGTGAGTAGTTAATGTACTAGAAGTTAACAAAACTTGCTAATCACTATAAATTTCTGGCTAAGTCAGGGAAAGTCTCTTCTAAGAGACATTACCTGATGCACAGCGCTTTATAGTTTGCCTTTATGCTCTTCATCTCTCAGCATAATTATTTGTATCAAGAAAATAAAAACTATCTCCTTTTGGAAGCCTAGCTACTGATAATTTTATTCATAGCTTGGAGTTTATCAAACAAAATCTTTCTGTTCTCTATGGAGTGTTTATACATCATCTCAAGCTGTCTTGTACACCTGGTAAGGATCAGAACTGGCCAGTTCAGAACACACACTCAAAAAATGCTAAATTGTTGTGGACTTGCATTTCTTTTTCCTTTGTTCTTCTCTTAAACACAACCATAGTGCATTTAGGGATTCTTGTACGCTGATTTCCACCATGCTGACACAATAAAATTCTGCTCCCAAAAGGCAGAAGATTGGCTTCAGGTATCAGTGGTGTTAACTTCATCTGGTGGCAATAATAAAATGCACCATGTCTATGCCACATTAAATCACTCAAATTCCTAGAATGTTCCCATGTGATCCTGTCTGATCCTCTCATTTCTGATCTGGTTTTGCTGAAATAACGTAGAGAACTGCTAGTATTTGTCAAGCTCCATTTCAGTCTGAAAACCAGATTATATGAATAATTACAGTGAATGAATGAATAATTATGCATTCATTAGATATGAATAATTATAGGAATAATTATAATAATTATATGAATATCATGCATGTATATGTATATATATGCATGTATATAAACCCATATTTTAAAAAGTGACAATATATAATATATTATATATATGACTTAAAATATGTTAATATATGTTTTCATTTTGGTACTCACCCTAAGAAATGCATCTAAGGCCCCATTCTCCATGTATTCTATTACAATCATGACTGGTTTCCCTGAAAGAAAAGACAGGTTTTGTTTGAGAAACTGTTACACAAATGGAGTGCCTTTTTTCGATAAAACACATGTTATTCCTTTGAAGGACTGAATCATTGAGACAACGAACATTTCTGAGGCCTCCAGCACTGTGACTGAGTTCTAATAAGTTCTTAAATGTCTGCATGGAACGTGGTCATGATTCACAAAATTAAACCATACAAATCAAAATGTCAGTGTGTTCTCCTAACTCCTGCTGTGTGAACAGGACTCCGGAATAATGACACTTCAGATAATATGAAAGGACATAAGAAACCTTATCTCTCTGCATGGTCTTTGAGGCTAAATGAAACTAGAAAAATAATATATTTCAAAGTAGTTCATCTTTTAATCATGCGTGCATCTTTATTTTTTTCCTCAGGTTGTAGCATAAAGTAAGTATTGTTTTAGTTAGTTACACATCAGGAGAAAATCCATTAGGAGTGTGCAGCCTGTTTATAATTTGAATCTTTGACCATGAAAAAGCTAAAGTAATTTCTGCCATTATGTTGTTATTTGACTGACAGATCAAGCCACTGCTTACCTCTGGTAACGACCCCTTCTAAGTGAACAACGTTGGGGTGGTCAAACTGTCCCATGATGCTTGCTTCACACAGGAAATCTCTCCTTTGCTTTTCAGTGTAGCCAACTTTCAGGGTTTTTATGGCTACTGCAACATCTCTCTTGCCAGGAAGCTTTAGACGCCCACTGCACACTTCACCAAACTCTCCTAAAATGAAGTAGATCAATGCTGAATTACTCCGACTATAATATCAATGTTCTTTTTAGGCCTTGATTCAACTAGACGCCTAAGCGTGCATTTAAATTTAACATGTGAATGTTTATATTTGAAATGGATTACTTAGGAACACAAAGACAGGCATGTGCTTTAAATGAATTGCTGACTAAGTACCTTACAGAGTAAACACTTCACGTTAAGCCAATCTACAGGACTGTTATTTGAGTCTTTTAAAAGACTTGTTAGTAATTTGTTACATTTTTTCAAAAACAGGAAATAAAAATGAAGTGGCTTTCATAAGAAAATACTATTACAGAAATAGTAATACCATTTCTAAGTGAAAATGTCATTCTGTTCTACATGGTTTCCTTGCTATGTTTAGATCCAATGGTTTTTTTTCCTTCAAAAGGCAGCTCTTTCAGAGCTGCTTTTAATTCAACATCGTTATGGTGTTAAATGAAGCACTACATTATTACCTTCAAGCAGGATAATTTACTTTGCAGATTATGAAATGAAAGGTGTGACTTATAATAATTTTGTTACATTAAACAAACACAAGCAAATGCTGGAAGTTTGTAAAAGATTCTAAACTGACAGACAATTGGAACTTGAAGAAGCATGTGAAAAAAATGGCCAAACAGCCAGCAAGAATACAAAAAAAAAAAAGCCTCAACAACCATAATTTGAGAGAGGCGTAATGGGACTCCTTTGGACAGGAAATAGCATGGAAGCATGTGAGATGTGAAGCTGAATGGCAATACATCTACCTCACTATTATTGAGATTGTGAAAGATTTAAGGATTGTCCCTTTCCTCACAGCTGTGTCAGCAGAGAGAGAAAGAGAGATCCCTTATTCCATAGCCAGGAGGAAAAATCTCTTGGGCTATACAGGAGAAAAGGGTAGCAACATAAAGGGGAACATCTCTTTAAAAAGAGAAAGATTCATTGCAAAAATATTTAATAATCTGGTACTTTGCAAATTTATGTGGGGTATGGAAGATACAGATCCAAGTCCCTCCTTCAAATCAAATCAAGCCTGAAATTTATCTCCTGCATACCTGCGGAGTGCCTTAACATTAAACTATTGAGTATGCACAAGTATGCAGACACACCTACATCCAAGGCATGTTTTAGGGTAAGTGATGAAAAAAATTACTGAATTAGGAAAGACTAACACAGAGTTTGATTAGAGAATCCCTTTGGGATATAGACCGAGGTCCTGAGAAACCTGGTGGGATCAGGACTTAAGTGCACATACACACTGGCAAGGTGTCTGGCTGGCAGTGGAGAGAAGTATGCTTGAAAATGGGGCTGAATGCCTGAAGAGGTATATGTTAAATTGTCCTAATGGATGAGTTCTGAGAAATCTTGTTTAGGACACCGTCACCGTTCCAACACTACTGTTCTCCTGTCACTCCCAACAGCAGAGCTTTCAGAAGGAAAAAAACAGTACCTGGGCCTCAGCTTCACAGTTCTCCAGCCAGAAGGGTAGAGCTTTGACCAGACCTTAATATTTCCAACCAACTTGTTTGGGCAAATCTTCACTCAGCACGGCTCGTTTTACAAATCTTATAGGAGATGGCTGCATACAGAATCGAATTCCTCTCCCTCCCGTTCTACGCTAGCTGAATTAAGGTTAGCTCCAATCAACTCCATATACCTCCGCTAACACCATGCTGAACCCGAGCTAACCGGCCAGAGTACAAGTGTTCCTGCCTGCACCGGTGAGGCATTAGCCCCAGCCGTCCTTGGGCACTGGAGTCACGGTCTGAATATCCATGGCATAGCTATGAATACCGTGAGGCACAGCTGTTACGTACATACCAACTAGCTGCTCATGCCCTTAGCTTGGTGCCTTAGCCTCCCTCCTGCAATTCATCAGCAATATGGATAACTATTATTGAATTCACCACTCACCTCACTCACCGCTCCTAGCCACAAGAACTTCCTAAAGGATAACAATTTTCTCTAGCAGCACCTTCCAAAATCACTTTTGTTCCACGCCGAAAACAAGACGTGAGTATAAGTGTGTGTGTGTGTGTGTGTGTGTGTGATACTTCAGAGCCAGGTAATTAGGATACTTGGCATGGGAGACACTAAGGCTTAACTCCTTTCCAGCTCTCTGTAATCTGATTTTGATTGATTTCCAAAAGCAGATCACTCACTCTCAGGCAAACCAGAAACTTGAACTTGTATGTTATGCATTTCAGGCCAGGATGCTAGCCAACAAACTACTTTTATTCCCCAGAAAATAGTATATTCAGCTGAAAAGATGCCCCAAAATGATCCAGAAAATATGACAACAAAAGTGGGAATACTGCACAGCCGCACAGCCACTAGCTCAGCATGTCAACAAGGAAGAAGCTAAAACAAAGCATGTGTGGTACGAACGAGGACTCAACATAGTGGACACCATTTTCTGTATCTGACAGGTGGCTGCAGCGGGATGGTAATGAAAATGTTGGCAAGGAAAGCACATATCCCTCATGCAAATTGAGCACAAGCATACTTGCACCCTGTTTGTCTGAGAGAGACATGGCACCACTCAATAGCTGATGTGGCCAGCATTGCTGATGCATATTGAGACTGCTAAGTGGCTTTTCTGGTGCTGTCCCTAGTAGAAATTCTATATTCTTCTTTGATGTATGAGTTTCAGCTGCTTCTTTGGGTCTTTAACATTCTGTTGCTCCTGGACTGCATTTCATTTCACTCCTATTTGCTATCTACATCAACAAGTCAAAGCCATAGCTAAACCCCATACACAATATGCTTTCACCATAGCGCTTCTAATTAACTTTCTTCTGAATGACTACCGACACACGTTAGGTTTTTTGCTATCAGTTATACTCATTAAAATCAAGAATAAATTCATCTGCAGTCAACAAAATTAACATTCTGGAATTACTCTGTCATAACAGTGAAAATATGTTTTAAGCTGTATTTGCAACTGAAGCGTTTTCAGCATTTTGCTCAGAAGGCATCGTCAAAGTCCGACTGAATACATCTTTGTGCTCTGAACTGTTGCTATGCTGGTTTTTAACTTAAAGCAAAAGATAAAGCTCAGTAATTTTTCTATGCTAATCTTGAATTTAAATCTTGTATATTGTGTATTTATTAGAAGACATGCTGCCAGTCTAGCATCACAAAAATTACTAGTTAGCAAGGGCTGGATTCTTATGCTCTTACTCATCTGAAGGAATAATTTGCTCAAGTAGTGCTGTTAATTTCAACAGTACTACTCCTTGATTAAGACATGATTCAACATGAGTGAGGTTACTTTAAAGAGGCATTGTGAATTCAAAGCGTAAAGAATTTTTTACTGGTAGACCAGCTTATTTTAGAGATATTTCTTCTTCTCTTTTTAAATAATACCACAGTATGTAATTTACAGTGCATGCCAAACTACAGGGTGATTTTAAAAGTATTCTGCTAATACTTTTATGAAACAACAGGAAAGCAAAAGAACATTTCCTCCAGGAATCCAAAGTATTTGATATTTTTCTTACCCGTGGAAACTTAATTTCACTACATGGAGTAGTGCAATAAAAATGTCACGTATCTTATTAATGCAAACAAATGAAACTGCCTTTTTAGAGCATGAACACCATGGCTTAAGTAGGTGGTAGACAGTTCAAGAGGAAGAAAAGCAATGTAATGCTGGTGCAATTACAATCAGTCATGAGAAGTTAAACAATAACTTTTTGTATTCATAAAATATCAAAAAGAAAAATGGTAGAACAAAAAAGAGCCTTGGGGAAGATTTTGTTATACAGAAATGAGACCTTCCTAGTCTCTATTTAAGATTTTGTGCTGCAGCCAGTTTTCCTTACTCACAAGAACAAAAATTCAGAGGTCAAAAAGCCCTCTTGCAAAAGGAAAGTGAGCAGAATTTGCACTCGTGCCTAACACCTTTACTCTGACAGTAAATAATAGGCAGCAAAACTGCCCCCCTTCCCCCAATTACATTTTTAACAGCAGATACAGAATTAGAAACCCACAAGCTTTCAATGTCAGGCAAGACTCTTCATTTACTTATTTATTTGGTTTTTGTTGTTCTCCCCCCCATTTGTTTTTACATTTTAGAAGCAAGTGCAGCTTCGTTGCTCTTAACCACTCCAGCAAATGCAAAAAGTTCTTCTGTACCTGAGGTATAATTATTTGCCTGTCATTATGATGTATGAGTTTCGATCCCAGCTAAATGGAACAGTTGAATCAGGAAGCCACGGCAGCCTTACCTGCACCAATCACACGCTCAATTTTAATACAAGAGGCATCTAGCTCCTTGGCGAATTGATGGACAGCTCTATTTGGGTCCTCGTAGGTTTCAGGGTCAATGTAGGTTTTGGTGCCTGGAAATTTAACTGTAATGATGTAAGAAAGCATGACTGTGATGAAGCAAAGGCACTTATTGTGCAGTCAGCCCAGGAATTTCATTATGCAGAGTGCTCCTTGGAAGAGCGAACCTGCTTCCACACTGCCTGAGTCAGAGCCGCTCCGAGAGGCAACCTTAGTTTTAGGCATCATCTGCAAGCATGTTGACACAAGTACACAATCCCATCTCTAAAAATGACTAACATTAGCATCTGCATCTCCACCTTGAAGTGAAAGAAGTAATAAATATTAAATAGTGTTCAATGGAATAAAATGCAAGGGTTGAGTGGGAGCAAAAATAAAGCAGGGGAAGGGGTGTAAGAGCAGCAGAGGAGGTTAAACTTTCTTTTTTGTGCAAGGACAGCTTATCCTCTTTTCCCAGGTTGTGTAAACAGCGTCTCTTTATGTTATCTCTGTCTTCTAGTGCGATTTGAAAGGCTCCTCCACCTATTTCAATTTGCTTAAATTATTGAATATAATATTATTTACAGACTGTGGCAAAAGCCAAGCTAAACTATTCACAGCACTTAGAATTTATATCCTTAGGTACGTTTCTTGCGGTAGAACATGAACATGAGAAACACTTGTAGCCAACTTGCGAAGGCATAGGAAGGGAAAGCGGGCTCTGTGGCACAATTATTCCCTCTCTCAAGGACCTAAGTGAATAATATGCAGCAACTTGGTTTTTGCTCTCTCTTTCTCCAGTATATAGCACTTAGTAGAACTCAGGCAGCATAGTGCTCTGGCCAGCATATAGTTTTTTCCCTTGGTTTGCTGCTGATTCAGGAAAATTATTTTTTACCCCTCTGGTGAAAGTAGAAACTTCTGGTGAAAGTAGAGCACCCCTTGGAATCTATTAACCAAGCTATTTTTATGAAATAAATTTGGCTCACAAGGATTACAGTCCTGAGCTTTAATTAAATCAGTGAACTAAAACGCAATATGAAAATGTAAGAAAGTTCCTCTACTAACTGATACACTGATATACAAGAATAGGATCAAAAGTCAATACAAAACATAAATAATTTATGGTTGCTTTGTAATCTTTTAATTGAATATAAAATATTTTAAATTTGAAAATATATTGAAAAATAGCTTAATAATCATGTATTTATGTTTTAGATGCTATTACTGACCAAAAAACCACCAAACCCTTGTAACAGGAAAAAGCTAGAGAAATTGTTTGAGTAATCTAATGAATTTACATGCAGAGAAATTATTTGAAATGTTGCCCAGATGTTATTATCTACCATAATATGTACTTAAATAGATGTTCTTCCAATTGTATCGATAATGCTACAGATTTTTAAAATGATAAATATTTCTTTCTTAAAACCAAAAATGACTAGAAAAATGAGAAGAAAGCAATAGGTTAACGACCTATAATAGTGCTTTCAGGCAGGGAGATGGAGCAGGAGCCATCCTCTCGTGTTTGTGATAAGGGTCCTGGAGTGGAGGTAACCTTGCGAAACTCAAGTGGGCCTCTGATGGTTCTTTATTCAAGCTGTCATAAAACATTTTGACAGGCCAAGGCCATCCTGGCATACCAATGTGAAATAATGCTGGCCTGGCTTTGAAGACATTGTTAGATGAAAATGGTAGGACGAAACCAAATATAAATCCGAATTGCTTAACTAAACTCCTCCATTGTACTTGTATCTTCAAGTGTAGCACTTGAGGTCACAGAGAGTTGAGGGGGACTGAAACAAAATATATGATACTCTATTAAATACAGTGCTTTAAAACCTGCTTTTAAAAAATGGTTACTTGTAAGGTTTTATGTTAAGTAAGTGTTTGTTGTAAATTACTTTTTTGAAAATCCAGTCTGGTACCTCAGCACAGAAAAAGGTTGTCTAGATGTTATGGAGCAAAAGGACACCAAGCTGGTGTTCACAGCCCTGCGACCAAGCTGGTGACCACAGCACTGGGTTCCATCTCATTCTGTTACCAAACAAATTTAATCACTAAACCTCAATCAACAGACGACGAAAAACTAGCTTGGCAAAAAGTGACTTCTATTCGGTGCTATGATTTTTAAAAGACTGTGTATACTGACTGTTCTGACTGATTTGCTGTATAACCAGATTTCTTGAGAGTAAAATGAGGGAAGTGAACACTTACTTAGTCTCACCATTTCTGGATCAGCTATTAATCATTAAGTAGCAGCTTTCATATTAATTTGCTTACACTTTGACTGAAACAAAAAATGTCACAAATAATGGAGATGAAGAAAGGAATTATTTAGCTAGCATATTCCTTTTGTTTATATACTGACATACAAGAATACATAGTTGATCTTTTCCTTCAAGGACATAATGGGGATTTTAAAAGTGAAAGCAGTAGCTCTTCTGAAGACGTGAAAAGCTTATAATGCATCTATGAGAGGCAAATTTCAAATCCATCACTCCCAGAATAGTAACGTTTAAGTAACATTAGATTTTTGATGAATTCTTTAAAATCAGCTGCACTGCAAAGTGCATGATAAATAATTCTTATCCTATTATTATTTCCTACCTTTCTTGCGCAGATTATGAATTGATTGACTAAAGCTGCAGTGATGTTACAGCTTAGTTTAATACTGACTGCATTTAAATGAAATTATTTAGGTAGCAACACACCCAAACTCAGGAAGTATGAACAAATTCCAGCTGGTCTGATTTTTTCAGGGCAGAAAGGTGAAATAGAAACCTTGATCTGATTTTGAGTGGAGCTTTGGCTAGAACTACCCATTTAAAGAGGCATACATTGAGAAGCTGCTGCAAAGTTGTGACTTGTGGCTACTTCATTCTCCAAGTGACATTACATTTTCATAATAGCTCATGATTTTAGCATATGTAAAATAAGATAAACCATATTGCTTTCATAAAAAAAAATCTGATGGATTTAAGCTACAGCTGCAATTATTGGTAGACAACAAAGGCTATGCTTAGCATGGCTAAATGGCAAGTTCTACTGATATGAGAGTTATCAGGTATGAGAGAAGACTGGAAACCCAGACATTGTTCTGTGTCAGAACTTATATTCAGTTTAATTCTATTATGTGATTTTGCAATTTTGCATGCTCAAAATCATTTTGCAACTTAGTTTTACCATACTTCCTGAGTTAAAGACTGATTCTAAAAGAAAGGAAAACATTTTTTTTTCTCATGTCAAAATGAAATTACAACTGAAATGAGAAAGGGCTAATATAAGAAAGCTTTTTAAACAATATTATGATAAAACTGAAACTATTCTTGCATAAGCCTTCCTCTCCTCTGAAATTTTCAGTTGTCGTTAACCCAAGAAAGATGTATTTTATTTAATTTTCCCCGGGTTCTAGCATAAGTTCAGATGGTAGCTGTGATTTTAACGTGAGGCTTTAGGTGCTGTTCTTCGCTAGGCAAGTGATTCTAGAACACAGAACAGTAATGAAGTAGCTGACCTTTCTTTTCATATTAAATATTCTATTTTTAAGGACATTGTTTTGTAAATATTGATGCTACCATATTCACAGTAGCAGAAAACAGCTTCATTGTTAGGGTGATGCAGTGACCCACACTTTCTTAATCTGAAGTTTGCCTGAGTTAAAGATCATATAGTCACTTAGCCAAAAGTCTCTCAAATACTGCACCTCAGAGGGATCATTAGGATGGTGTGAAACATGTATTCAAAGCAACCAAAAGAAAAAAAAAAGCAGAATGAAAACAACAGTATATCATACACATGTATAGAAATAAAACCGTCTGTGTGAGCAATGTTGACTTTAATCTGCATTCCTTTTGTGTAGGTCACATTTTTAGAGTGTTTAACTTCCTACTTGCTATTTACACAGCATTTTTTAATTTCTTATGGCTTTGTCTTTCATGGAGTGTTGTTTTAGTATTGTCTACACTATTACAGTTGGGAATTTTTGGAAGGGGGGAAAAAAAAGCAAAACACTTACAGTGAAAGTAAAGTTCTTCATCCCCTTCTTGATCAGCTTTACTATAGCCGCAATGCCTGAAAAGAAAGACACCAGTTTTACTCGTAAATAATGATTTACTTCCTCACATCTAAAGTCCTGACAACATCAGTTCTGCAGGCTGGGATTTTCAGGCGCTGAGCACCTAACTCCTGTAGGCCCTTTGAAAGTTTCAGCTATAATTCTTTTGACAGCAGAGTTTTAAATAAATCATGAACAGTTGCAATCAAAAGGCTTTTGTATCAAATACCAGTTGGGACAGGTCCTAAAGAGAAAATTCTAGTTCTGGTGAAAAGCTTCTATGGATAAAACAGAGGATTAAAGAACTTCAAAGTAGAACACTGTTTTACATGAGGTTATTCTTAAACTTACTGCTGTGCCTCTTTTTCTTGAATGTAAAGTCATTTAAAGGCTGATCAGATAAAGTGTCAGACTTCTCCACGTGAGAAAACTGAACAGAAAGATGGACTTTGAGGAGTACAGGTAAAGAACCTGCTAGGGGTTCCTTTTACAGCACATTTACATAGGAAAAAAGGAACATCTTGATTTAAGGGTGTCTTGCCAAAGTAAGAGGACAAACTGTATAATTGATAACAGGATTTAAATGAAAATTGTCCTTACTAAAAATGACTTCTGTTTCAGGTTTGCAAATTACTATCCCAGATTAGACTATGTCTCAAGAGTTCGCAAGAGCAGGGTCAGATGTGCTTATGCCTATGCAAGGTGCAATACCTTCGCCCGATGATGAATCCAAACACCATGAAGACCAAAATGATGGTTCCTGCCACAGCAACCACAGCTATGATAATAACAGGATTCTGTTCACTGGAAACAGCCGTGGCTACAGACGGAGCACAGAGAAGAGATTAGTTTAAAATTATTCCCTACAAAGGAACTGCAAAAAATTAAGCCAGCCATCATGAATTGCAGACTGTTAGTTTACCTTTGCCTGAAACCATTACATTGACAAAGTTAGTCTAAATAAGGGCCTCCATTGGAAATTCATCCAAATGCTGGATGAGTTAACGATCGTCCACAGGGAATAAAAAGGAGCTATGCTGGAATTGACTTGGCCAAAGTGATGCAGCCATTAGCCAAAAGCCAGCACCAGCACCAGCCACTTCCACTCCATCCTACTGCTGCACTGCCTTCTGGTTTTGCTCAGTGGTTGACCCCTTCCTAAAAGGGAAGAGCTGGATATCCCTGTAAGGGCGGACAGTAGGAGAATAATCCCTGAAGAGCTCTGCTTCTAGCCTCCCCTCTAAAACTGGTTGCTACGACTTTGACGGTACCCAAGGAAATAGTGTCTTAACTATAAGAAGAATGTTTGAGATGAAACGCTATCTATTAAGACAGATGTCCTGGTTAACATATTTCTATCTTTTACTGCTATTAATCATTGTAAATTGCTATTATTACTTCTGATTTGTTTCTGTTAGCAATGAAAAGGTACTTCCACATATTCCACATAAACCGGAATTCTCCATGCTTCAGAGATTTACATGCTAAAATTATAGTTCTTTTTATTCAGATATGCCAATGCTATTAATATATGCAAATGTATGCATGTCACATTAACGTAAACCAAGGATGTCAATACTTAGTGTGAGAAACCTCAAGGTTTGTTAAATACATTGCTTGCCTGACATCTAATGAGGGTGGCCATGTACGCAGTTGCATTAAATGAGCACAGCTCTGCTGAACTCTGTGAAGCTATGCTGGTTTGTAACAGTGAGGATCTAGCCCAAGGGACTAAGAACAAAGGACGAGACATCAGGCAGTGGTGCTGAGCAAGGGACTGTGAAAGTGTGAGTCATCTGGAAGCAGCAGAGAGATAAAAGAGGAAAAAAAAAAAAAAAGGAAACCCAACTGATAGCTGATTAACTAAATTGTAGATGGTATGTTAATATAGTTAACTGCTGGTAGTGGTAACTGAACAGGAATGTCTCCACGAGGATTTTATGAATTCCACAGAATCAAGGTCCTGTTGCAGACTTCAGAGGTTCCCACAGAAACAAATAAACCAGTCTTTTCTTTGCTCTGTCTTGGGAGAAGTGAGCCAATCAACGTGATTTATTTTGTCTCTGACACTGACCTGTACCAACTGCTTCTCCCCCAAAATAATAAACCCCTTGTTACACTACACAGATATAGAATAATCTGCACTGGGGGGAAGTCCGCCCGTCCCTCCCCTTCAGCTTTATTTCCTAAAGAAACTTTGTAATTTTGTATGTCCTACCTAATGCAGATGAGGAAGATCTCATTATTCATATCAGTCTTTAACTGAAAAGAACAAAAGCTTATCTTTGAGTTACTATAACTTTCTGAGATACCCAGGTCAGTAGGACACTACTGCACGCCTGCATATATCCCAATTGTGGAACTTCTAGGAAATCAGTGGTCACTATCTCGTGCAAGAGTGTAGGGGCACAAGTAATAATAAAACTCAGTTCCTGTAACATCACCAGGCCATCAAAGCGGACAATCCCAAACAATGTCAAATTCATGTAAAATAAATACAGCATTTCCTAAAACTGTTCCCTTCTCTCTTTGAACTTCAGTGCAAACCTCACTTGGAAGTCAAGAAGAGGCAGCATCCTGTCACAATGGCCAGGGTGCAGAGCTGCATCCATCTAACAGTTTGGAAAAACACCCAGTGCAGCCTGTCAACTAATCTAGCAGCCAAGTTGAGTGCATAGAGGTTGACATATGTGAGTGGGCTGCTCTGCATAACTGCCTCACAGATCTTGGGTACTGGCACATGCTGGAAGCAAACTGAGGGTGTTATTTGGGCTCTGGAAAATGGTGGGGACATGGTACACTGGCCAACTGGTAGGATAGGTGGGATGCAATGTATGATTAATTTTTACATCTTTAAGAAAAAAAAAAGGTCTGATTGTGGGCATGGTCTGGTATGAATTCAGTGACAGCAGTCTAAGACATCTGCCTCTTTTCAGGTACTCTGTGCTGCTTCTCTCTTCTGTGTGATGAACTCAGTCTGTTAGTGTAAGGGTCAATCAGAGCCCAGCTGCTGGAATGATCACTGCGGTTGGGCAGAAATAAAGATGCGAGAGTGTCCTTAGAGGAATGATTTTGGGGTGCAGATAATCCTTTCAGGGGGTGCATGGCATGGTTACCTGTCACTGGTGCTGCCACAATGGTGATGGCAGGGAACCCCCAGCAGGACAGGGAAGTCTGCCCTGACCTCTGCTTAAACCGTGCTCACCCTCAGAGTGCGAGACGGGGACCTGGTGCTGGGACAGTCAGCTACAGCTGACACCTAATCTGACGTTATGGTATTTGCATATGCAAATGAATGAGGCAATGCTTAATTTAAAAGACTTAAAACCACCTTTTAAATACATAGTCGTAGGGATGGGGGTGGATATCCGAACACTCCAGGGGATTTAAAAAGGCAGATCAGCTGTAAAAGCTGTGCTGCTCCTCCAGCAGCATTTTCTCATGCAAGCAACCTGAAATGTATGATCTCCAGAAAAGAATTCCTGATGAAGTCCACCATGAAAACTTTAAAGAGAAACTGGATTCATGTAGGCCAAATATTACTTTCTTAAGTATTCTTCTTTATGTCTTCTATAAAAATTTGCAGTAGTGTTATTTCAGATATTAGGAATAAATTTTACATCTGCTTATTACTTCAGCCTCACTTGATTTAAACTGATTCATGGCAAAAGGAAAATGCAAAATCTTCTTGATGCCAGGTTGTGCTGAGTCCTTTTACTTTAACAGTGAGAGCTGTAACAAGTGGCAAAATCCCCTTTAGTTACAAAAAGCACAGGACCATCTTTAGATCACTGGCTAAAAGTCATGTAATATAACTTTTAAATACCTCAGTGAATCAAAAGATAAAATTACCACTTAAGTGATATTTTATGTATTTGTATTTTCTCCCTGAGGGACTTCTGTCTCTAATAACCAGCAATGATTTCAACAAAAAAAATATAATGATTAAAGTACTTTGACCCATGGCAAACACAGTATAGAACAGAAATATCCTGCCTTTGTAAAGCATTTTTACTTCATAATTTTGAAATTTTTACATAAATATGTATGCAATGCCCAACATGTATGATATGTGCAAATACAGGTATAAAATATGTATATTTTACATATCAGATAATATTGATATAATGGACGTAGTTCCTCAAATATTGAAAACTGGCCATGCAGTTTCTATCACAATTCATAAACTGGAGCATAATACAAAACTCTACTTAATCAACAGCACCAACCAAAAGGTGCCAACCAGTTGAAGTGCGAGGAGAAATGCAGGTAGGCAACATGACTAGCTGACTGTGATGGTCACTATCTATATTCTTACATACATAAATATATGTGTGTGTATATATATTCTTACCATATATATATATATTCTTAAAATACTTTGACACATTTAAAAGCTGCATTCAAAAACCCACTGGAATAACGAGAAGCCAATGCCCCTAAACTGTAACAGAACACTGGTTTACTGCTTGCCTGTACAGTACTTCACTTGAGGTATATTTCCTAAAAATGATGCAGTAAAGGTCTTCCTTTAAAATGTTAACAAAAGACTAATTTGATTAGCCTGCAAGTTCTGATAGAACTACAAATAAAATATGAGAAACAAATATTTTTGTGTAAAACCATTCTAGAAGAATTTAATGGAATTTACTATCTTTTTACCAACATTGCAATTATTTCTGAAAACCATATATGGAAAATTGTGGAAGCTTATCCTTGATGGGAATTATATTCTACAATGTCCTCTCAAGATAATGGAAAAGATACCGCTTTTAAAATTTTCTTTAATGAAAGCACAGGACATTTTACACGGCATGTCAAAACACAAAGCTGGCCTGTGACAAAAGAAAAATCTGCTGTGCATACTGGCCAAGTATGTTGCTGGTTTATTTGCAGTTTTTCATCACCTGAGTCAGAGGGTACATGAGCGCGGTCAGTGATGCATTTATTCGAGGATTTCCTAATCTTCCATATGTTGACCAAACTCCAGTCAAGACTGTTCACCTCTGAAATTGCCTTTGCTAATCTTTGTGGCTACCAGTATGCTTACATTCAGTAGATAAAAATTACACAGGCAATTAAGGAAATACTCGGGAAACATTTTGTTCTACTAAGTTTAAACCACTATGGACAATAAATTAGCTAATTAGCAGAAACTTATGACAGACTTTTAATTTGTTTTCCAGAAATCTACTCAAAATAAGAAATTACTTCTGTCTGTACCTCAGGCTCCCATTCTGCAAAATGGGCATTGTGCTACTGACTCTTTCTAAAGCAGAACTCTATGGATGGAAAGTATGCTATCAGACACAGAGCTAATAACATTAGTAATGACAGTTTATTACTGTTATTATGATAATTACTATTTCAATTATGTCTATTAGATATGTGGTATTATTCATTACTGATAGTTTTCATATTCTTTGTGGAACCAAGGTGGAATCAAGACCTAACTACTGTGTTTTAAGAATACCCACGAATTCTTCAGGTGACACCTGGCTGCAATTAATAAGATGCAATAGTGTGTGTCTGCACCTTAGACGATAGGCTGCAGAGAGTGCAGTGAGCAGAGATGGCATCCATACCCTTTGAACCTGTAGGCTATGTATTCTCAGCTCCAAATCTGGCTGACCTGCTGTCAGGCAGGTTGACCTGAAGCAAATGACCCAAAATAGAGTCACCAAATTTGGGTCTGCGACAGAGTGGTGAAGCTGCCAGGGACACGGGCAGTTCCCGTGAACGGGCTCACGGCTGCCAGGTCTCAGTGATGGAAGAGTTTCTTTCTGAAGACCCAAAACGTGAAAGATTTTCTCTAAGCATGCATGCACGTATCTACATGGCTCAGGAGAAAAGGCATCAGTGTGATTTTTAGACAAATAAGGGCACAAGATTGGTTTCAGCATCAAGGAAAGATCAAGCTCTCCCAAAATGTTATCCCTCTGCTGAGATGTCACAGCCAGATTCTCTGGTGTACTCTACTGAGAGATCTTGTACTTCAGCTTCATACTTTCCATTGTGAGTGTTTTCGAGAGGTTGTTTTTTCTTTACACAGCTTAAAACTTAGTACATGAGCCTTGAAGAAACCTAGTGTCTTTGAGACCTCTGTTTCTTTACTAAATCAAGTTGAAGCTAGCCAAAGAACTCAAAAGACACTGAAGATGGATATACAGCTTAACCAAGACACACACATAAACCAAATTATAAAGAGTTTTCTCAGGAAATCGAACAGGGAAAAAATGACCTGGAGAACCCTCTGTGGGCTGAAATCTCCTCTTCCCTCCTCTCCCCAGTTACAGAAGAATCTAGTAGAGTTACTCAGCTCATCACTACTCACTTCTCTTGGAGGGGGAAAGAGGTTTGTATCTGAATGAAAAGAAACTATTTTTCTTTGCATTAGAAGGACATCAGAGGAGAAGAACCTGATGTTACAAATCTTCTCCAGATAATTATAAAAGTGTAATTTGTAGCTCTATGGTAAAACAACTAATTGAAGCTCATCCTTCAAAATACAGTGACAACAATCCACCTTCATGTAGAACTTCATTCTTTCTAGTTTTAATAATGTTACCTATGAGTCTTTCCTTTCTTGCTTTACTTACTACTTCTCTTGAGAGTATTAATTTAGTATAAATCTAACTGTTTACCTGTGGCTTCTTCTAGTGTGGCAACATCCAGTCTGGGGCTGTAATTTCCATAACCAGCAGCAGTAAAAGCACGAATCTGGAAAACATACACTGTTCCTGGCTTTAGGTTATTAATGGAAGCTGAAGTGGACTTGGTTTTCACTGTTGAATAGGTCCTCTCCCTTTGATCCTGAAAACAATAAGACGAAAGATTAAATGACATTTACAGGTCAGATTTTATCATAGTTGCACATCAGCAACTGACTGCCAGCCTGGGTAGTTTATTTCAATTTGTCGAACGCTTTTTTCCCTAACATAAAAAATAAAGCATACTCTGTGGAGTACTACAAAACACTGTCAATGCAATGAGGAGCTCTAAGTGTAACATAAAATTCAAATGGGATGCTCATGTTGTTACTCATAAAACATCCAGACATGAAATGATTGCTTCTTTGGCTTTGATTACATTTTATGAAATTTTGATGAGAAAATAGCTTGACCGCAGCTTTCCAGGTGGATCTGTGGGGTCTGAACAGTTCAAGGACAGGGAAATCTGTTCTTTCATGGTAAGAACACCATTCCTTTTTACCTTCCAATACCTTTAAAAATTCCAATACTACCAATGTATAACTGGCTGGATTTTGCACCAAATTCTGAGGTCCTTAACTCAGTTTTCACTTAGCATTTCATCTCCAGCTTTTAGTCTTTTCTCAGGTTTTGACTCTATGACATCAAGAAGAACCCAGGGAAAGAAGCTCAGTATGACACCTCTCAAATTTGAAGCTGTAAGATTACAAACCCTATGAGTAATAACTCACTTTCAACCACTACAAAAGCTGTATCATAGATCATTACAGTATTCAAAAAGCTCTACTTATTCATCACATTTACTGATCCAGATTATCTTTCAGCATAGATATGTGCAGCCCTGTTGATTTTCAGTGGCAGATGCAACCCTGATTTGAAGGGCAGAAGAGATGAATTAACCAACCATCTGAACGCACCACATGACCAGAGAAGCATGAGCCGTACGAGGCAGCGCTAATGAGACGGATACAGAGGGAAGGAATAAATCTGTAACTCATTTCAATAGTATTTCACCAGCTAAAAATGATGGAGAACCTTCCCCCTTGCAGTCAGTAAAGCAGCAAACGCTTTTTGCTGAGATAGAGGGTTAAATACAACATACATGATTTCTTTTCTGAGATTCAGTAATCATTTCTCCTGGGTCTTGCCCAGTCTGTCATTTGAGCAAGCCCACCGGCTCGGCTAGCAACAATTTTTCATATCTTCTCCAAGACGGTTTAAATCATCTGTAAGTGAGGACCATGGTGGAATGTATGTTGGTATGTGAGAAAGAACAGGAATGCTTGGGAGATGAGAAACAAGTGTAAAGAAACATAAACAGTCAGGTTCGGGACTGTAAGCCACAGTGGAATTTCAGAGTTTGGGTTTTGATGCATAAATGAGGCTTATTTGAATTGCCAACAGTTCTTGCATTCAAAATAAGTAAGTAACAAAGAAATTAAAATAACCTGCACCAGAAATCTCACAGGACAGGCTTACTTGGGAGATTTCAGGCAGTTTCCATTCCAGCTCTAGCCAGAAGTGAGAGGTGAAAAAAAACACTTATCAGAATATTTCAGAACCACAAAAATGTTTGATTCAATTTGGCTCTGAAAAGAGCTGAAAGTTTAGATCTTTTTTTTTTTTTCTTTTAAACTAATGGAACAAAACTTAAACTGCCTCTGTTGTTCTGAGCAAGAAGCTTATGAAGTACTTTTCAAGCTGAACTGCATTATTTTGGAAGGAAGACAAGCATTTAAGCATTTATTTTAATATTGTCTCACTGAATTAAAGGTATATAGTCCAGTTTATCTGTGACTGTTCGTAGGATGAGCTTCTTACTCTCTCTTATTCATTTCACGCTAATAAGTATAATACTGGTAGGTTTCCCTCCTTTACTAAAGACCTTTAACATCAGTTCTTGTCTTTGCAAACATAGGAAACTGGCAATTAAATTCTGGTGCTTATTTAAAGTAACATGAATATATAGGGAAAATAATAAAAGCCACATTCTAAAAGCTATTGTTATATGAAAAGTCTAGTATCTTGATCATTTTTCTGTCATTTTTCCACTACCTATTTAAATAAATTAGTTTATTTTAACAGGTTAGAAACTACTCTGCAGATTAAAACCCAAGTTTTAATTTGTAGTTTGTTTTTTTAAGGGGTTTTTTTGTGCAGAGAACAGTTTTGCCTTTGGTAAATACGTAAACTTTTTTTTTTTTTTTTTAATGTATGGGCTTTATTTGTGTGTGTGTGCACACAGATATGCTTGAGGAATAAAAATTACCTGCTAAAATTAGTAAAATATCTTTAAAAAATTGTTTAGCTATCTGTACATATCTGGTAAATTTTGTTATGTCACTAAAGTGAACAACTTAAACTGGGAGTTAGCATCAACAAATAAACATGTTATACCCTTCCCAGATCATATAAAGGTCTTTTGATAAGTATATTTGTGTAATTCAGCACTGAAAATTAGATGTGACACTTGATATTATATCCAATCTGGTCTGAATTTACCTAATTCTATGTTACCCAGTAAGCTGACATGCTCTTTTTGATACAGAGCTATTACCTTGTTTGCAGAGATGAAATGTCTTCACAAGTGATCACAAAGGAGCTCCTTTGTTCATTTCTTTGCATTTTAATTCTTTCTTTTTTTCTCCCAGCATGTTTTATAAAAATTAGGAATATGTTACGTGTTGCAGTAAATTTCCCAGGGAATCTGGAGGAGTCACACTCGGTCTGGGTCCCATGACAAATATATAGCTGCACAACCTGCCTTCACTCTGCTTTCATGCAGCTTACGGTTGCATGTGGCCCTACTTATATGCTTGTCAGAATTTTTTTATTCTGGAGTACTTCAAAGTTATCATGAATGTGGGCCTAGACACGCTGAAATGAATGGCAAAACTCGGACTGACATCAATAAGACTGCAATTTCATTCTACCAGAAACAGAGATCACTTCATCTACTATTGAAAAGCAGCCCTCAATTCATTATTGTGTTGAGAGAACAAGTGAAAAATAAATTCCACAATGCTGGGACTTTTTAGAAGGACAAATAAGGAATATTTATCAGCTGAAACTGTAGGAAGTGCTTTGGAAGTTTTCAGACATCGAGTGAAGCTGGCCAGCTCATACGGAAATACCAAATGCAGTCAAAAGTTGTATTATTTGATATATCATCTCAAGACTGGAATTACAGCGACACCGAAGGAAATGAAACAAGCTTTAAACACAATGTAGAAGAGACAGGAAAATGACAACTATCATGGTAAAATATCCAAGTCCAACTTAACAATAAAAAAAAAAGTGGAAAAAAAGGCAGATTTAAAGTGGGTATTTCATTTTTAGAATACCAAAATACAACATATGAGACATAGGATAGCAATAATAATTGCAGTGATTTGCTAGTTATTAAAGATGAGCAAAATCACTGTGACTTTGAAGAGACAGGATAGTTGATAGCTGATGGCGTTAACATTGTTCCACAACACAGCAAGCGAACATGAAGCAAACAGAACATTGTTGAACATTACAGATAATCTTAGCACTTACTTTCTCATAATACTTGATTTCATATTCAGTAATGACTCCGTTGGGATGTTCTGGTTCCTGCCAGGAAAGCTCCACGCTCCTCTGCAGCACTCTCTCTTTCATTACTCCACTAACTTGCGAGGGAGCTGTTTGGACAAGATGTGTCAATAAATAAAAAGCAAATTTGTTGGATGCCTAAAATCAAATGTCATTACTGATCCACCCCATGCTGAGCCACTTTCATTAAGGTAAAAGAAAGCACCTTTTCATAGCTCACAATTCAAAGTTAATGAATATTCAAGCAGGACCCTATTACTGTTCGTAAACTTAGAATGGAAATCGAATTAAAGTGCAAACAGCAAAAAGTGGCATTGTTCAAGTTAGTGCAAAACTGAGATTGATGGGATAGGAATAACAATTAAGCAAATTAATTCTGATTAAGATAGCAAAGTAGATTTTTAGATTGATGTGTAGTAAATTAATAGTCTAAATATTTATTGCACATGTTTCTGAAATGCTCATAAAAAGAAAAATAATGTTTTAGAAACAAAATCACATTTTAGGCTGATTTCATATAACCGATTCCAATTCTGCTTAAAAAATAATCTGTCACACTATCTGATTACGACATGACTGGGTGATGAAAACAGCTTTGTTAAGAGACTAAACCCCCTCTTTTTCAGTAGTTGAAACCTTTCCAGGATATTCGTTCTTTAGAGCTGAACTTTCCATATTTGGTCTTGGCATTTTTTGTAAAGTGTGAGACAATTTAAGAAGTAGATCTTATGAAATAAAGGGGACACTGTCTTCCTCCACCTCACTCTACAGAGACATACATACATGCACACTTGCATGTATGCACACGTACACACAGATTTTCCTAATAAACATCACCCACAAACAAGCACCTTTTGAAATAAAAAAAACCCAACCCAACAGTGTACAAGCATTATAGAGCCATTGACTCTTATTTAAAAATGTTTAAGAGAGAATGTAATAAAATATGAGACACTGAAAAAGTAACTTGCTTTATCAGCTTATCTCATGTTTACAAACGAGAAAGACGGTGGATTTTCTGCTGATGTGCAGTTCCAAAGGAGGCCAAACATCACACTTTTCCTCAAACATACATACTGCCTATAGGAATGTAGCACAGAAGTCCTGTAAAACCATAGCTCTTTAAAAAACAGCTATGGCATTGGAACCATACAGAACTTGATCTTGTTCTCTTTCAATTCAATGGAAATAACTGAAGGGTGTAACACCGCTCATGCAAAAGATAAATAAAGAAAGGACCTGATCCTCAGCCCCCTGCAGTTAAAAGCAAAATGACATTTATGTGTACAGGAACTGGGTCATATTTGGAGGAGCAGATTCAGACACAGGAAAGGAAATTAAAACTAGAGATAAATTTATTTATATCTTTTTCAAGTATAGAATCTAGTACTGATTCTATGCTTGTTTGTTTGAACAAAAATTCTGAAAATTTTAAATCTTTTTCTAGGTAAAAAAAAGAACAATCTTCTTTCAGAACTGTATATGAAGCTTCCACTATGTAAAATGATGTACAGTCTTCAGATAAAACCAGATTCTTATCCCATGCAATAGGCAGGTGAACTTCACTTTCTTTATTTAATTTAAAGAACACAGAAATAAAACATCTAGAATGTGCTCTCCTGTAGCATTAAGGATAAAATTCTAATGATAAAGTAAAAATATCTACAGCACAATCAAGACAATAATCGTCTAAAAACCTTAAAATTTCATTGTTAACTTCTTAGTTTAATTGTGAAGTTTCTAGCCTTTTTTATTGTAACATGTATATTTATGTAGGTTTTTAAATTAAATTTATTTACATTTCATTAGAGGCTCCAAGAATCCATGAAAATTAAGGATTGAAGCCCTGCATGATAATCTTCATCAAGAACTATTATGTTGTATAGAACCAATATAATCAAAGTTGAAGACCTCTTAATGTAGACTGCCTAGCTGATAAAATCATAAAATCGTATCATGCAAACACCATGGGTTGATACACCATTCCAAAGCCAGGATCACTGTCTTTCACTCTTCTTGCATTCTCTTTCTAAAAGCTTAGAGCATTTTCACTCTCTAATTAGTGAGATATATTCTTTTTTGTAGCTAAGAGTCTGGAATGCAGCAAACTAATTTACTCTGTCTAGTTTTCTTTGCCATGATTAACTAGTTGTCTTCTTTGTCTAAATGAGTACCACAGCATCCTGGCTAAATTTCAGCGAGGTCATTATATTTCATGTATAATGTTCTATCTCATCCAGATAAATGTTTTCAAATTGCTTATTTTACATTTTTAGATGTCCAAAATTGTTAATGTTCATACTTATCATGAAACAATTTTATATTACCTAGGTCACTGGAGTTTGTTCTCAACATTTGCTGCCTTTTGTTTTAGCTTATAAAATTTTTGCATTCTGTTGGTCATAGCATTCATTTTTTTAAAGCAGTGAAGCAAAATGAACTCACATCCTCTGGTATTAGTTAACTCTGCATATGTGGAGAAGCAACAGCAATGCAGAGAAGGAGGAACAGAGAAGGGGGAAGATTTTAATCGTGAAATTAAATATACTATGTGAGATTCCTACTTAACATCTGTACAAAGTATACCACAAACAGGCATATTCCATTCTTAAGGAATTTCCATTCAAAACAAAATCTCAGTGATTTATCAACATTGCAAGACAGCATTCAAAACTCTTAAATAAATGCACTCTAAAATATATTTCTTGTCAATTAATATTCTTTTCATTCAAGAATGGTCAGATTAAAAGCTGGTTTTGGTTTGGGTTTTTTTTTTCATTGTGTTTTGGCTCCCCCCCTCCCCCAACTAAAAACGTGCTACTTTTCATTGGTGGAAGAACCACATGAGGAAGAAGAGAAAGTCCAACCCTGCAGACTGTATATGTTGGTAGCTCTGAAGACAATGATGTTGTATATAATTCTCATAACACATGATATTCCTAAAATGCAGTAAGTTACATAAGTTTATTTTGTGTCCCCACATTTGTTGGGGGAAGAAGGGAATCATCAAATTGGTGGAAGCCAGAGTATCCTCCTCTGGCAAGGTATACACCACTCTGTTGTTACTGCAAGAATATCTCTGTGAACTAGAGCAATCACGTAAGCCAGTCTATTGATGTGAGAGGCTAGATGTATATGCTATCTTTATTCTGCCTTTTGGGTTGCATTTCTTGATCTGTGCTTAATGAGGGTATATAGGTCAGAAGCATTTTGTTCTTTATTCTAGTATAATAATTTCCTCTGTATTCTTACTGTGCCTTTCTTACAGACTGTTTTGTATTCATGTTTTATTTGTTCTGGCTTCCTCACACTTCCTTTTAAACCTTTAGCCCACTTCTCTTTGCCTATCCATGTTAATTAATTAACAACCTATTTATGGTTTTGAAACAACTATGTTTGAGGAAGCTTGAAAATGAGTTAAAACATACAATTCATCCCTAAATACAAGATAAAATATGATATTAAATCACACACACACAAAAAAGCCAGAATTAAAAATACCATTTTTGTTCCCATTGCTAGCTAAACCAATGTAATAATAATAATAATAATAATAATAATAATAATAATAATAATACCCCATAACTATTTCAGGTATTTTTTTCTTTTAGTAGTCTAGTTTTTGCCTCTGTATCCATAGCAAAGTTGTTCATGATAAAGACACTTCTTAACAGCATTTCTAGACAACTAAGTACCCAGTCCTGAATGACTTGAGCATGCATAATCCCTGCTGTATCACTTCAGGTTACAAAGAAGCATCACTTGCCAAAATCGTTATTTCCATAATATATTACACTGGGGGATACAGGCTGTTCAAAACACCATTTGCTATCAACTTTCTTTCTGATATACCTCATCTCTTCTTTTTCTCCTTCCTGCTGACACAACATCCAATGCATCAAACACACACAGCCTCTCAGGGCTAACAGGCAGATGTACCTACACATGCTGCATAAGAAAGTACTTCGAGAATGACAGGCTCTCAGCACACTCATTCACCTTTTTTAAATGCTTCAAATATACCATTCAGCAAAAGGAAAAATTGATTTTCACCAGGTTTCAACATCACAGCCACAGAGAAATATAACTCTGCTGGGCTTTACTGATAAAGCCTTCAAGTTATATAGATTTCAAGCTGGTCATCATTTTCAGATCAAGTTACAGAAAAAGTTAAAACTGAAGTGTCAAAAAGAGCAGGATATTCCAATGAAATATTCTGTTCCAGAGAGAATACTGCATCTGGTAGACTGATGTGTTACATCCATACTGCTAAGCCAAGCATATGGTATATTATTAATATGTGCAAATATTTAGGTATAGAAAACTGGTGACTGTTTTGGAAGGCATTGCTTTTAGTCCAGATTCCTCTGAAAATATTATAATATAATATTGCTCATGCCTTTAATCTCTAAGCTTAGATACTCTCTGGTTCTCATGCCTAACATTTCCCTTGATCCACAGTGTACACTTTCCAAAAGACAAAGTGAGATGCAAAATTAAATCTTTTGCACTTTGTATCAGAAAAAAAACTCCAAAAAACCCATACAAAATACTAAATCAAAACAATAAAAACTGAAAAATGAAAACAGGTGAAGCTGGAGTTTCACATATAAGAGGAACTAGGCATAATGCACGAATTGCTAGCAAAAAATCAGCTCTAACACCTTTCTACTGAAAAAACATAACTCGGCTAAAGAAACCTGCCTAGCCATTTCTTTGAGATTTCCTCAAGTCCTGCATCTTGAATGTGTCTCAATTCCATCAACAGTATCAGTCATGGAGACTTTTAATTTGATACTTTTAAAAAAGTGTCTCTAGAAGCAGCATCCCGGGTGTTTAGTAGTTCACGTGTATAAAACAAACTATTAAAAATCCTCAGAAGTAAGGGTTTCAATTCTGTAGTCCCACTTCATGCAGAAAGTTTCACAAATGAACATGAGCAAATGCTCCCAGTGCAAGATCAAACCCTATATTAACAAATGCTACCAAATCCACGTTTGCAACTCCAGCTTCATGATTTGTTACACAAAGACTAATGAATGAATGGGCTATCAGAATTCCTTAACCATTTTTTTGTATTTCTTTATCT